CCATAGGATATTCAATGCTGTAGGTGTGAAAGCAGACAAATAATTAATTGCAAAACAAACTTGCCTCTCCAGGGAAAATCACAGAATGGGCACCCCATTGTATTTGAAGTAAGATTAAAATTTTGGTATTATTATTACTCATTATTATGTCTGATTGGGGAAACCAAAATTAAAAATTTGCTTGTTTTAGGATGATCTTTTCAAATCTAGTATTTTGCAATCCATTGAATATTTCAGTTACTTCATGAATAATTCATGAATATTTCTCCTGGTACTAAATATTTCTTTCTGCATATAACCTGAACTTTTACAAGTAATTATTTGGCATATTTTAAAAATCTTTTCTTTACCATTAGTATAAGCATCTGGCTCAAATGAACAAATAAGGATTCTTTCATCCTTGACACAAATGTGTAGTATCAGTAAGCTAGAAAGTTAGGTATTAGAAATCTGAAAACTACAGTTGGCTTTCCCTCATGTCTTGAATGAACACATTCAATGGATTAAAAAGCAAACTGGATCCATGGACCTTAATATTTAATTAGTAACAGATGAATGTAATAAGTACTTTGCAGAGAAATCACAACAAAGTTATTTTAATCTTCTAATATTGGACCTAGTTCAGTGAATAGAGGATAGACTGCAGTCTCATATACATGTAACACTAAGCAAAAAATCTAGTTACTATGTTGCACCATGATATGGTTAATGTAGGAAGATATTGTGTGGATCCCAATACTACAATCTATAATCCATCATTTATGGTTAAATGTGTTATGTAAACTTTGCCAGTTACAATTTATTCAAGTTACTATAGATGATATGTAATATTTTAACACAATAATGTACATGTGCTATATACTGTATAGCTCTCTATGGTATTTTGTGATGTGTGAACCCATGTATTATAGCTTAGAATTATGTGTAAAGCAGGCACTGTGGTTTGTTCAATGAACCATAGTTAACATTTGGTTTAACAAAATGTGTAAACCAGGTTATATGGGTATCCTTTTAGACCGGGGTCCCCAACCTCCAGTCTGTGGACCGGTACTGGGCCGTGGCATGCCAGCAACTGGTCCGCACAAACAAGCAAAACCCCATCTGCAAGATGCAGGCAGCACACAAACCCACACATTCTTTTCTCCATGGAACCAGTCCCTGGTACCCAAAAGGTTGGGGACCTGTTTTAGACTATTAAGCCAGACTATATGTAAATGCATATATTTACTCTGTTTCCCTTACTACATTCCTTTTAATTCCTTCAAACTGATCTGGTACTGAGAATAAGCACTACAACATAATATTTATTACTTCTTATATTGTATAAAAGTATTCTAGTAGAGTTAACCCTTTAAAGAAATTTGACAATTAGTTTCTACTGTGTAATCTTTTATCCGCAATTAAATTCTAATCATACAAGATTCCACAGCCCTAGATAAATATTTAGAAGATTAAAATGTGAAGGCATGTAATTACTGACTTATGGAGATAACAAAAAAAACGCGTTAAGTTTTTCTATAAAAATTAAATGGTTTAAGAACTAAGAAAAAAATTGTCAGTCTAAGTAGAAAACAAGAAGGTAAGTAAAGCATGGTTTTATGAACTATTGTATACAATACACAACATGTACAAAACACAATGGATGAAGCCAATACAAAAACAAACAATACTATTTCTTAGTACCATATATATCCAGTTACTATATCAAAGGCTTTTGCTTCATCAAGGTATTCTTAAACGGTTTAAGAATGAAAAATTTGGGAAAATCTCTGATGCTACAATATATTCCAGTCAATCTGCTCCTTACAGGGGACAAAATACTTTCTTAATTTCCCATATATACTATTTAGCACATGGCAATAGATGTACAAATCTCTATCTCCTGCTTTCTTTGACAATCTTCCAGAAATGAACATTTTTCACTTGGGTTTTTCACTAAGACTCCCACTAACATAATGAGAACGAGTGGACTTCTGTGTGTATCTTACATTTTGCATGGCATCCTGATACTGCGACAATGATGACAGCTGAGACTCAGAATGGTATGGGGTTAACCCTTTCCTAAGGGTCCTCAGTTCCCCAGTGCTTGATTGCTGAAAAAAGAGAGACAAAGATAAAGCAGGACATCTGTTTAGTCCCAAGTAAAACATGAAACCTAATTCCATTATATTTTCTTCTTTAGCTCTTACTCTATCACAGTGGTTCTCAACCTGTGGGTCGGGACCCCATTTGGGGTCAATCGACCATTTCATGGGGGTCGCCAAGTAAGGCTGTCCACCATTTTTTTTGTCCGCCATTTTTTCCCCTTTTCCGGCGGGTGCCTTACCTCCCTTGGGCTGGGCCAGCTGGTGGTCGGCCTGCTCCGCCTCTGCCGCTTGCCAGCTACGCCTCGCCGGCGCAGGGGGCGGAACCACGCATGCATGGCGCTCCCGGGCAGGGAAAGTCCTCGACTTACGACTGGTTGGGTAGTCCCCTACTTACGACCGGTTTAGTCCTCGACTTACGACCGGTTTAGTCCTCGACTTACGACCGGTTTAGTCCTCGACTTACGACCAGTTTAGTCCTCGACTTACGACCAGTTGGGGTCACGGCATTAAAAAGGTTGAGAACCACTGCTGTATCATCTAATACATCTTGTTCAAGGCACATTTATCTTTGGACTTTATGTGGGGCTGGACTCTATTAGTTGGAAGACATCAGCTATATAATTGGAAGGGACACAATATTCCATTATTCCATCTTTCTCTGTAGTCTTCAATATCAAACATCTCTCAAAGTTTAAAGAAGGAAATTTTTTCAGCAATCAGAAGGACTGCACATTGGAGAAAGAATTATGATAGCCTGTTGGCAACAACTTTCTGCTGGTGGTAGTGAGAATAGGTAGTGAGAATAACTAAATTCCACACAATTAGAAAAATTATATTTAAATCAAGAATTTTGGGAGAACAACCTATTTTAATGACTACAAGTAAAGTATTTTCTAAAACTTAGGAAATAGTTTTCCAATTGTTAAATTTTTGTGCCTTGGTGTTATTCTGTTGATCTTCCATGTAAAATAATATTTTTGGAGGTAATTTAAGATAAAACATATAATGATATACAGGCTATATTTTTTTCATGTCTGTTGTGCTTTAAGGGTGGTTTGAAAATTCTGAAAACATAAAATTAGCAACATATCTTTAGCAATTTCTGTTACTTTGTTTAGCAAATTAATAATGATAAACAGGTAGGCAATTTAGAAATAAATTTTGGAATGCACCTATTATCTATTCCAAGTCTATTACTTTTTCCCAATCAATAGCAATTGCATCTAAACATAGACTTAACAATAACTGAATCTCACATAAAATCACTGATAACACGGTCAATTATTCAAATGTGGAAATCACAAACATACACATAAACACACAGCCATTAAACAAACCTGTGACATATCAAACAATAGTTTTCACTGCAATGTTATAGACCATGACTTATACCACAACAACAACAACAACAACAACAACAACAACAACAACAACAACAATAATAATAATAATAATAATAATAATAATAATAATAATAATAATAATAATGTTGGAAGGGACCTTGGAGGTCCTTTAGTCCAACCCCCTGCTCAGGCAGGAAACCCTATACATTTCAGACGAATGGCTATCTAGTCTCTTCTTAAAAACTTCCAGTATTGGAGCATTCACCGTTTCTGGAGGCAGGTTGTTTCACTGGTTAATTGTTCTGTCAAGAAGTTTCTCCTTAGTTCTAGGTTGCTTCTCTCCTTGATTAGTTTCCATCCATAGCTTCTTGTCCAGCCTTCAGGCACTTTGGAGAATAGCTTGACTCCCTCTTCTTTGTGGCAATCCTTGAGATATTGGAATACTGCTATCATGTCACCCCTAGTCCTTCTTTTCATTAAACTAGACATACCCAATTCCAGCAACCGTTTTTTATATGTTTTAGCCTCCAGTCCCCTAATCATCTTTGTTGCTCTTCTCTGTAGTCTTTCTAGAGTCTCAATATCTTTTTTACATCATGGTAACCAAAACTGGATGCAGTATTCCAAGTGTGGCCTTACCAAGGCATTGTAAAGTGGTATTAATACTTCACGTGATCTTGATTCTAACCCTCTGTTAATATATTGCAAAACAGATTTGGGTATACTTTGCTTAATACTTTGACACTGTTTATGTCATGTATAGTGCAGTACAGTACTTCTGCCTATTCATTCCAAACAGGAAAGGGATAAACTTTGGATGGTAGTGTTGGGAACACATTTGTCATTTTAAGACTGTGGTGAAATACTCAAAAAGTAACTGCTCTGGGAGATGTCTGTTTAAAAAAATGGCAAGTAAAAGAATATGGCCAATCACAACCTATCAGGATGTTATTAACCATTCCACAGTGATCTTTATTATACTAGAAGCTAGTACTTGCTTTTCAACACACCAGCTCCCAGATGTATCAGGAGGCTGTAGACACTAAGATAGGCGTTTGCTAACATATGTGTGTTCATGACCATCACATTATTTTTGGCAGATAATGCTTCTTGTTTTTTCATCTAAGGACGATTTCCATTTCTCTAGTACAATAACCATAAATAACAGAATAACAGAGTTGGAAGGGACCTTGGAGGTCTTCTAGTCTAACCCCCTGCCCAAGCAGGACTCCCTACTATTTCAGACAAGTGGCTGTCCAATCACTTTTTAAAAGCCTCCAGTAATGTGAGCACCCACAACTTCTGAAGGCAAGCCATTCTACTGGTTTATTGTTCTAACTGTCAGGAAATTTCTCCTTAGTTCTAGGTTGCTTCTCTCCTTGATTAGTTTCCATCCATTGCTTCTTGCCCTGCCTTCAGGTGCTTTGGAGAAGATGTTGACTCTCCTCTTCTTTGTGGCAGTACCTTAGATATCGCTATCATCACTTTATGAATTTCATTATTGTATCATATCACTTGCTAATGTTACTTATTGTCATAACTATATTATTCACTTAAATAATGCAATTGTTTAATTAATTAAATGTGCTGGCTTCTTTCCTTTATATAACTCCTTTTATATTCACCATGTGCTATCAAGTTGGTGTCAACCCTTAATAACCACTACATTTTATATTAATACAACACAGAAAATAAATACCGTACAATTACTTGTATAATCCCATAAGTATATTACTACCTTCCCTAACCAGTAGGTATTTTTATAATGTCAATTAAGCACATTGTTTAATTTCAGTAAAACTATATCTCTGTGGTATATTTCAATATTACTATATATGACATTTGTTATTATTTATTTGCAATATTGCTATTAAGTCATTAATATTGCATCATATAACAAAACCTGCATAATAATGCTATATCAGCAAGAATGCATTCAATGTCAACCAACTTAGGCTCACATACAACAGCCTTACTACTTCATTACATAAGAAAAATTAAAGTCACTGCCTTGGAGAGTTTTAGGGGGAGGGGGAAGGCTGGATTTTTTCAGGCCATTGAAGTCTCCTGAGTATTAGCATACAGATCAGTAAGAAGCCAAGACCATGTAAAAGAAATCTGGTGGGTGATCCTTAATAGCTTGAAAAGCTATTAATCTTCTTCATGAACAGAAGTTCCTCTATCTCAGCACTGAAATAAGCAGCAATTTGGACTCATCTTGAAACTGTCACTCAAGGAATGTTTCATGTAGTTGCATTATATAAAGCCCTATGTTGAGCATCAGTGTAGAGCTAGTAGCCATTTTAACTATGACTCATCTATATTGGTAAAAATAAAGGAATACTATTGAAAGAGATGCTGTATTTTTCTCAGAACAAAGTTAATTAAATTCTTGTGTATCACTCAATGGTTAAAAACAGCTGTTATAAAGTATAATGATTGATTAAAGCATAAACAGGTTGAACAGTTACAAAGTTGCAAAGTCTGCCAAATAGGACACAGCTGGCTAGTTTAATTCTGCTAAGCTTACTAAGAAATTACTTCTACTTTCCTCCTTATGGTCAGAAGAGCTTCCAAAGGCTGAAATGGCTTGTTGAACATCATAAGGTAGAACTGCTCAAGCACCATTGTCAAAAAATATGGAGAGAATGTCCATTTAATGCAGGGATGTCAAACTGCCGGCCTGCGGGCCGGATGCATCATAACAAAAACGCACCCACCCCATTGCCGGCAATGGCAAAAAAGTCACGATACGTCGCAACATGTCATGTGACATTGTGAGTTTGACACCCCTGATTTAGAGTAAACAATACTCAGATAAACTTTATATTTATTTGTTTAAATTTATATGTTGTAAATTGTATCTTGTTGCACCGATACAAAAACTTTCAGAAGTGCATCTTGTTCCTAACAAATCTCATCCCTTGATTATAACACAGAACTCTAATACTAAACAGCTTGACTGTTTTTGATTATTTCAGAAATTGCAAATATACAGTAGTTTGGAACAAGCTAAAACAAGCATTTGCAGACACATGTCACATCCCTGATATTGCCACTGTGCATATTTTGTGAACAATGTGTTCCAGTTTTCACTCAAACTTAGTAAGATATTACAGAAGCCATAAGAGGAATAAATCATTTTAATTACCTTTGGGAAACCTTACATACTTCTGAAATGCTTTTAAATTCTTACTCATTAAAGCAAGCTTTGTAATCTAGTTTTAAAAAATTGCTAGGGAATAGGAAATCCCAAGCATCCATTAAAAGACAAGAACTAATAACACATCAATGGAAGACAATATAATTCTATTTAAACCTGTACTTTAAAGTCACTCAGTTGGCTTGGTTGGTATGTTCATACACAAAGAAGTGATCCAGTATTGTTATCTTTCCTATTTTTGATTAGCAGAGAGATTATGCTAGACTTTAATCTTGCAAATAATTATTTAAAGGTGGGAGAGGATGTCATCTATGTTGCTGCTGCTGCCCATCTCTTACAACATTAAATACCATTATTTCGGAAGTAAAAATCCAAGAATACAGCTTGGAATTAGCATTTAGAAATCTAATATCAACATATGCTCTGTAAAAGAGCAGGAAA